ATATATTTAGACATATATATATAGAAAGTATATATATTCTTTAATTTGTCCTTTTTTTTGCCAGAACATTTTTATTTTCATTTTCATTTCAATATATATACATATATATATATAGATTTAATTATATCGCTGTTAGTCTTCTCACAAGAACGTGTTTATTTAGTCGTCTCGTTATTATTATTATTATTATCATACTAAACGAAAATTCATGTGTGCGCTGCATCTCGCTTATTGTCTCGGTCCCCTTCGCTCGGCAATTTTCGACGTAGCCGAGCGAAATAGATTGAGATTATTCACATTGGTTTATTTTGATCATCTACTTAAGACGGAACACTGTGCAGCTTTTATATTTATATATTTAGAAAGAGAACATAATTAATAATCTCTAAAATGGAGACAAGTGGTAATTAATATTTTACATATTATTATACATCATTTTATGTCATACTGATCTCGATATCTTTACGTTTCTATACTTTGGTTTATATTTACATTATCTTTTTATCTTTCTATCATTTTTTCTTTTTTTTTTTTTTTTACATCTTTGCTTTCTTTTTTTTTTTTTAACTCGAGAAGCACAAGTTGAAATTAAAAAAGAAAAAAAATGATAATTTAATATTAAAAATTGTACAAAGTTTCTTTTTTTTACTGTATTTTCGAGATGTTGGAAAGTAAAGATGTCGATGTCAAATACGAAAGAATATACATACAATGTCTCCAGAATTTTTATCCGAAAATTCATAGTGATGTGTATATATACATATGCATATAGATCAAATAAAACGGGTTGGTTGCGTCGAAAAATTAGTTTCTCGACGTACGGTGTTTTTTTTTTTTCGTCACGATAAATGCACTACAACCAACAACAACCTACCCCCTTTCCCTTCGTCATTCCTATAATTCCATCAACAACCTTGAAATACCGTGCTTCTTTTGTACGCAGTAGATTTACTTTCTTGATATAAATGACGCTTTTCACGGATATGTGATATTTATTTTTTGAATAGATGAATTTTGAAAAAAAAATGAGTAGTTCGAATTAAGTTGCCTTTCGACAATTATATTATCATATTATGCGATAATAATACTCCTTGCATTTCGAAGTGTCGTTGGGCAGTACCAAAAGGGCCGGTTTAGTCTGCCATCGATATTTCAATCCTCGATTGAAGACTCGATATATATAAATACATGCATTACATAAATATTTTTGGTCCTGCTTTAATCCCAATAGCCTAAATTAGATATTAAATATATTTTTACATATTTTTGAAGATGTAGTAAAAAAAAAGAAAGACAAGATATACAAATAAATAAATTGGTATCAGAAACAGGACTGAAGATAAAAGTTGGGTGTTATCATGCGCAAAAAATAATTATTAAATTCATTACTTTCAATGTTTATATATTTGATCGATATTTTTTAAAATAAATGATCGGTATTTAAAATTAATAAATGGTTAGTACATAATTAATATTTGGTTAATATTTTGAATTAATTATCAGTATTTATAATAGGTACAATATTGTGTCAAGGTTTCTTCAAAATTACATGTAGAAATTTTATTTTTATTACAAATACCGATCGTCTATTTAAAAATAAAAAAAGAAAATTAATATAAATAAATATTTCAAATGTATACTTTGAAATTTCCAATTTTTTTGCGCCAGGTAAACACGAAGGTTAACAAATTGGTAGTTGCGCGAACGTAGATAAGTCAAAAGTCCAAAAAAAAAAAACAAAAAAAGCAAAACAAAAAAATCCACTCGCGATAGTTATCCCAACAACAAACAAACAAACAAAAAAATCCGGTCGATGTTCTGAAACGCAATCATGCGAGTTACATACTATATATCCCTCTGTCCCTTTTCCTTAATTTTCTTCCCTTAACTCTATTACTAGTCAGTCATTCGTTCATTCTCACACCATTCCCCGTTTATTTTTATTTCCTTCTTTTTTTTTTTTTTTTGAAACATTCACACACGTATTTCCACATTCACACTCACTATACTAAAAGTACATTATCACCGTGTCCCTTCTCTAACACCTATAATATAACACACACGTAGGACCATGCCAAAGCACAAAGAAAAAAAAAATAATAGAAAACGAATGAAAGAAAACTTTTAATCAACAAGTCTAAAATACATTTTCAAATAAAAAAAAAACAGTACATTTTTATATAGATATATATATACATAAAAATAAAACAAAAAGAAAGGTAAAAAAATAAAAATAATAAAAAAAGACGCGAAAAGAAAAGAGAATTAGAAAGAAACGTCGATACTATTTGATTTCAATTAAAAGAGCTGCGTCTAGTTTTTTTTTTTTTATAATTAATTCAATATAACGGAGTAGGGGTGCCCAATAATGTTTAAACAATAATCGATCCTAATCGATTAACTCTATTTCACTCTTTTTCTCTCTCTCTCTCTCTCTCTCTCTCTCTCTCTCTCTCTCTATCTTTTTCTCTATCTTTTTCTATAATATCCTTTTTCCATTCAATACAATAATAATAATAATAATAATAATAATAATAATAATAATAATAATAATAATAAAAATAATAATAATAATAATATGAAAAGTAGTGAAAATTCTGCTGGATTGATTATATCTTTTTGCCAATGAATTGAACATTTTAACCGCAAGCTGACATTACGTTTGATCTCTCCTTGATTTAACAAAAGTTCCTAGTTTTTAACAGAGTTTGCCTCGTGAATACTTAGTTGTCGGATGATCGTGATTGAAAAATGATCGAACTAATATATATATATATATATTATATTGTTAGTATATACATATATTATTAGTGGGTGTACAGTAATTATGTTTAGATCTATACGAAATACGACATACGTTGATAAATCTAATCATATTATTATTTACACGCGCATATTGCGGAAAGTTTGCTACCGAACCCGTAGCTGTGAAAATGTTGTTGCCTATAGTTGCATATGGCTGAGTCATTTGTTAGAGAAACGTCTTTGAATTTTGGCTGGCGCGTCAAAGCTATGGTGGACAATTTTAATTTGAATATTAAATATTTAAACAAAAATTTTATTACATTTCTAAAATTATGATTATGTATGAATGTCTCTAAAGAAATTTTTTGTTTTTTTGTTGTTGTAAATATAGTCCACCCTGGTTTTAAACAAAAATCGCCGTAAAGTGGACTAGAATCGCTGAGAGGAAAATTTAAAATTTACGCGAACGATTTAAAATTCGTCAAATTTCATAAGGTAAAAAAAACTGTGCTCATATTTTCTTTTTTTTTGTATATTTTTTTCAAACTCATCGATGATAAGTTCACCGTACGTGCGAGTACAAAGTAGGACGGGCGAGCCATCGCATGATAAACAAAATCGAACGTGACCGTTTCTAAAAAGAATTCCCTAACCCCTATCAACCTCTAATTTATAAAATTAAAAAAAAAAAGAAAGAAAAAAACAAAATAAAAAAGAACTCGAAATAAAAACTGGCACACTCGAGCCCAGAAAAAAAAATATCTCTCTCTCTTCGAACAACTGGGTACGAGTCGTGACACGGTTAATTCGCGATCGATTAACGCGATCGATTATTTTGGGCATACCCGAAACGTGTATAAAACGAAACAAAACAAACAATCAAAAATACGAAAAGATAAAAAATAAAAAACAAAACAAAATCAACCAACCAAACGAACAAACAAACGCAGGGTCGAAAGAGGCTCGCGTTCACGATCAAGCAGAAAATGAAGATCATCCAAGAGATCGAGCGTGGTAAGAGCAAGAGCGACGTCGCCAGAGAATTGGGCCTTGCGAGTAGCACCGTGGCAACCATTTGGAAAAATCGGGAGAGCATCGCCGAAAGTTGGAGAAATCGTGACATTATGCAACAACAACAACAACAACAACAGCAACAACATCAACAACACCACTTGCCTCTTCATCATCAACAACAATTAGATCAGGAGGAAGCAATTCTATTGAAGAAACAAACATTCTCCTCGGTATCCCCAGTTGCTCTGAGCCTCTGCTCGGGTACGTCCTCATTGACGAACTCGAGTGTTTCGAATTTGAGCATATTACCAGTGACAACGACGGTTAACGTTGTCCCAACGACTTGCGTCGTCGGTGCATCGTCTACAAACGCGATTTCCCCAACAACGCCTCTCATGTTGACGTCAACGAACAATTCGACGACGAATATATCGACTAATACAACGACGATGACGATGATGAACAGCAGCAACAACAACAATAATAATAATACTAATAATAATAATAATAGTAACAGTATCAACAACATCAACAACATCAATCAAGCAGCAATAATGGTAGGCGGGGCACCGACTGGTACGACAGTAGTTGCGACAACTCCTCAAGTTAATTCCCTCTTACCATCGACAACGGCACTCCAGTTGACCACCAACAACCCTGTGAACGCTGCCAACGCAGTCATCAATGCAGCATCTAACGCAGCCGCAGCAGCAGCAGCAGCCATCGCTACTCTCACGGCTTTACCATCGACCCTATCCTCCTCTTCTTCATCTTCTTCTTCTTCTTCTACCTCCTCCTCCTCGTCTATATGTTCCATTTCGTCCACCACGCAACAACAACAACAACAACAACAACAACAACAACAACAACAACATCAACAACATCAACAACATCAACAACAACAACACCAACAACTAGTACTACAACAACAACAACAACAACAACAAGCCGTCCAACCGACGACGCCACCTACCTCGACGTCCACCGGTACCGTGACGGTCGCCGTTCAACCGGACAATACCCAGCAGGCCCAGACCCAGACGCAAAGTGGTCAGGAACTTCTGGAGGTAAGATGTCGTATGAGACGATCCCCCCTAACCACCCCTTTAATTTTTCCTTTAACCCTTAACCTGTTAAGCGTTTAGATCACATATATGTGACACAAACGGTTAACAGTTTAATCCTCCTCCATATCAACGTTCTCCTATCTCTCTCTCTATCTATCTATCTGTCTATCTTTCTTCATCGTCATCATCACCAATCTTTTTTCCTTCCTTCCTTCCTATTATCCTTCATTCTTGTCTTCCTTTCATTATCTCTAACCACCTTATTTCGTTCTTCGACGTATTACTATGAGGTAAGAGACCTTGATTACTGCATCCCCCAGTGGTACTACTCCCCTTCGTCTTTCATCCCCTTCAATCGACAAGATCGATTACTTCTTCACGTGAATTCGTTTACTCATTCGTTCGTTCATTCATTCATTCGTTAGTTATAAAGATTAAATAATAAATCATTAGGATAATTTATTGTCGAACGAGGAAAACTTTGATTAGGTATTTTTTTAGGTTCTTTTTATCCCTAAACACCTGATCATCAATTTATCCCTAATATATATATATATACTATACATCCCCCTCCAGATCCAAAAACTGTTCTCGTGAATTTTTTCAAGCCACGAACGAAGGAGACAACAACGATGCTCGATTATTCGCGATTTGTGAGATGTGGCTCGAGCTTAAGCTTCGAAAGTACCAATCAACGAAATAAATAGAGAGAGAAAGAGAAAAAAAAAACAAGAATTTAATCTAAAAGTGTTAGAAATTTTTGATCATATTTTTCTCTCTATCTCGATCTTTTTCCAATTGAAATTCTCGGTACTTTCGAATGCTGTTTTTGATAATCTGTTTTGCACGTATCAGCTTAATTTATGTTTCAAGTAGTTTTTTAAATAATCACGATAACGCGTTATTCTATAATATCGTTATTACCTACACCAAATTTTTTTTCTTATTGTTTTTTCACTTGTTTCTTTTATATTACTATGTTTCTTATATATATTTTTTTCTATTTATTTATTATTAATTTTCTTTTTTAAACAAATACATACATACATGCAGTGGACTTTTAGTGGGAGAAATACGCGCGTCATAGTTGCATGCACGTTGTCGTCTTTTTGTTTTTTAAATTAATCGATGGATCACATCCAACTCTCGAATCGAAAGAGATAAAAAATTGTCTTGGAATTATTTTCAAATCGAAATGAAGAGCAACAACGACAAAAAATATTTAAAAGAAAAAAAAAGAAACAAGGCGACAGGCATGTACGATGCGAGTACACACGCACATATATGTATACATATATCAGGCTATTTTGGCAAATTTGTTTTCAAAACGGAATTAAATTATGGTCGACCCAAAAAAATAAATATATTCAAAAATTCATTGATTTAAATGCTTCGATTTCACGTGATTTTTTTATGACAAATGAAATCGAAGATATTTCAAGAAACAGCCCGAGTGTGTGTGTGTAATATCACGAAAAGAAATTCAAACACTCGGTCCTACTATAAAAACTTCTCTAAATTTTTGCGAGAAAAATGAGAGGAGAAAATTAAAAAAAAAAAGAAAGTGAAACCATCGTCGTTTAGAGGACAAACACCGTAATCGAATCACACATCGGAAACCAAACCAAAAAGAAAAAAAAGAACAAATTTTTTTAATAAACAATAAAAAAAAAGGCTGGCGATAAACGTAGGCACGATGCGTACGATGATGTATAAAAGAAAAAAAAATACATTCAATATATATATATATATGTGTGTATATTTATTTTTATATATATATAAATATAAATATAAATGTAAAAATATATATACACGTATATGTATACGTTCTTATATAAGTGATATATATATATATATATATATATATGTATATCGACTGTCGCAAACGCTATCCTGTGCCTAGCTTCTCCTGTCACTATGAAAAATAACAGCTAGCTACATGAATTTATCCAGCATGCCATGTTTTTTCTCGAGTTTTTTTTTTTACCTATTATTCTCTCTATACATCGAATACACGTATTTATATTATACTACTTTTATTATTATCGGAGAGTAGGCTGTATCCAAAATATTAAAATATTAATCATAGTATTTTTAATTCGTAATAATAATAATATTAATAATAATAATAATAATAATAATAATAATAATAATAATATCATAATTTGAATAATCACCTAATAATAATAATATTAATATTAATAATATTAATAATAGAGTATTATAGTAAAGCTTTTCCTATCTTAATTTCCTAAGAAGTCAATGAGCACACTCTCTTTCTCTCTCTCTTTCTCTTTCTCTTTATCTCTATTCCTCTCTTTTTATTTCTTCCTTTCATTCTTTCTTTCTTATTCTTTCTATTTTTATCTTTATTTATTTATCTATTTATCTTTATATCGCAATATATGAATACTCTTATTACTATTATCTTGATATTTTTTCAAGATTGATATGTTATATTTTAATATTCATAAATATATATATATATATTATTCGATTGTTCGTTTTCACTATATATAAATATATACGTTTCTATATTCAAATATATATTTACATATATATTTTATTATATTATTACACATTTTGATCTATCTCTTATATATATACATATATATTATATATTATATCTTCTATGATAATTATTATGATGTTCCACGTATTTTCTATTATTCAATTTGAATTAACCGTGTTTTTTATCAACTTATCTATTTATCTATTCTATCTTTCTATCTATCTATCTATCTATCTATCTATCTATTTATGAAGCTTTAAGCGGTAGTATATTATATGTATATGTATATATATACATATAATGTTGAATATATACATATAATATATATAACACCGATTATTATATTTAATATGTGTATAGTTAGGCGAGTATTTGCTTGGCCCCTGCATGCGCGCTGACAAAAATTAAAACAAACATTTCACTATCTTATTTTTTAACCTATTATTCCTATTATTCTTATTCTACTTTTAAATACTTCGAAAATTTTGTTCCTTTCTTTCAAATGATTCTTTCACTTTCTATCTTTTTCTATTTTTCCTTCTCTCTTCCTCGAATTATCCTTGCTCTTTCTCTTTCTCTCTTTTTTCGTGTAAAGTGGTGTTGGTTAAAATGATAATTAATAAATTTCCTTTGTTTTTGTAGTACAATCCTTTCGTATGGGCCCGTTGTTATTATTATTATTATCCTTATCCTACTTTTGTTTTTTAATATTGGTTTATTTGTTTGTTTAATCGTTTTATTGTATATTTTAATTTTTGTACATATATTTAATTTGGTATTTGATTATTTTGCTAATTATCTTCTTTTTTTTTAATCATTTTTTTTGTCTTCTTCTTCTACTACTTCTTCATAAAATTGTGCCTTTGCTTCCTACTATACCAATAGCGATCTCGCAGAGACACGTTCGAATTTTAGGGGAAAACAAAATTCGAAATAATTGTCTTTGCTTTTTTCAACTTGGCTGATCACCGATTTCGAAAATTCAAAAGAACAAAAAAAAATATGAAAAAGTATATCTAATGAAAATGATTTTTGGATCGTCGTATTTTACAATCGCATGCCTATCGACAAATTTTATCAAATGTTTTTTACGCACGGAATTGTTACATATATATACATACATATATATATCTCTATCTTTCTCAATACATATATAGATATATATATATATATATATATTTTAACATTTGTTTTAATTTTCAATTCACCGCGATATATCTCTCGTGTATATACGTTTAATACATTCATACGTATTTACATACATATTTATATACATACATATGTAAATACATACACGAACGGTATTTCTCAATGTATTCGGAATGAGTAAAACAGCTGATCTTCTTCAATACCGTCTCAGCTACGTCCGAAGATTCGAGTTCGTCTTGATTAAGAAAAAAAACATTCTTATGATTACGACCACGATGATGACGATGATGACGATGATGACGATGATGATTATGATGGTGATGATGATGATGATGATGATGATGGTGATGATGATGACGATAATGATGATGGTAGTTATGATTGGTGATGATGAACGATATCGGATTTATTAGATCTTCACAATTAGAGTAAATAGCGCATAAATCCCATAATTTTGCTTTTGTTGTAAACGCGACTATTTTTTTTTTGTAGTTTAAAATTTTTAATAAATAGTATAATACGGATTACACAAAATTTACGCGAATAAAAATATTCGGCATCATTAGACGAAAGAGAAAGTAAATTATATTTTTTTTTCTATTGGTTTCTTATTTTTTTTATTTTTTATTTTTGTTTTTTTTTTTTTTTTTTAATTTAATCGGCTATTCCTTGAAACAAAATGCCTCGAAAACAAAAACAATCGACAAAATTTAGATTCATAGTCAAATCAGGTCCTTAGGTAATGAAAAATAAAAGAATAAAAAAAAAAAATACAAGAAAGATAGATAAAATAATAATAAAAAAAAAAAATATTCAAATTCAAATTTATTAATGGATGCGAGTGACGTGTGTGTGGCGTTGTGCGCAGGCGCGGAAAAAACGGCAGGAAGAGGTGGAGAAGATCCGACTGGAAGAGCAACAACGAAAGCAACAGGTAATTCTATAGAGCGTTTTTTTAGGATAACAGAGACAAACAAAAAAAAAGAGAGAGAAAAAAAATACGAGAGGAGAAAAAAGTAAGAGAGAGAGAGGGCGCGGTGTGCTGGAGGGAGGGAGGTTGAGGGATGAGGGGGGAAAAAATAAACGAGAAAGGATAATGAAATTTTCGTTTGAATTTTTTTCTCTCACTTTATCTCTCTCTCTCTCTCTCTCTCTCTCTCTCTCTCTTTCTCTCTCTTCTTTTTCATCCTTTTTTTTCTCTTCCTCTTTTTCATACTATTTCATGACTTTATTTTAATTATGATCAAATTTTGGATATAAAAAATAATTGTATAAATGTATTTTTGTATTAATCTCTAGTTTTTGCAGGAGCGCGAATTGAAGAGACAACAGACGGTGATGTTTAAGGAACAGGTGAGTTTTTTTTTTTTAATATTATTTGCTCTCTATCATAGTTTTTTTTTTTTTTTTTGTATTATTATCATCCAAAGAAAATGTTTTTATTTTTAAAAAATCATTTTTTTGGGGGAGATCATGCCTAACTACGATCGTATCGCCGCAAAACAAAAAAAAAGTAAAAAAAGAGAAAAACAAAAAAAAAGAGTAGATCGTAATAATATTTTCTATTAGAACGCGTAAACGTGTGCTGCGTGTAATAAGCGTGTGCAGTGTGTGCAGTGTGTGTTTTGTAGATTTTAGTTTCGTAATGTATTTCGTATACTCACTCCCTTTTAATTACCGTCTATCTATTTCTCATATTGCTGCGTGTTTCATTCATCGATTCGTATAATTTTGGCGAACGATTTCGCGAAACGATCATCTCTCTTTCAACCCCCTAACCCTTTTCTCTCTCTCTCTCTATATATGTATATATATATATATATGTACACGTATACATTTAATCGGTAATGAAATTGTCCTATGTACTCGCAATCATCTACAAACTTACTCGTATACCTAAATTACATTTCAATTGCAATTTCTAAACGTACCACCGTTTAATGCTTACATTAGTTTATTTACGAGTGTGGTATCAATCAAATGGATATTTGTCCAATTTTGTATTGTTCTAAGTTCGGTTTATATCTTATTTGATTATTTTTAATTAGAATTAATATCGTTAAAAAAAAAATAATTCATTTGACTTGATATTACATTTGCAACTCACCCCCTGCCCCCACGATTAATTTTGATCAAAATTAGCCACTTGACATACAAATAAAATGCGTGGCGTTTTATTTTGAAATTTACATTGCTTTATAAAATTCAATAAGGTTAATAATTATTTAAGTAATACTATAAAACAATAATTTAATAATTTTGTAACGTGTAATACTTCATAAAGCTTTTGACGTTTTGGAGACCTCAAATTCTCCTTCATGAGTAAAAAAAATATCTTTTTCTAAATTTAAAAATAAAGAAAAAACACAAAAGAAGGAAAATAAATAAAAACGCATTTAATCTAACTTTTTTTTCGATGTCACGTTATTTAATTATTATTTCTTTAACGAGAACGAATTAGAGAAACCCCTGGAGAGTGGGGTGGTAAAAGAAATAGAGAGAGAAATAAAAGAAATAAAAGATAAAAAATAAAAATAAAAAAAGAGAAAGAGAAAGAAAGTAAGAAAAAAAATGGATATGGTTAGTTTGAGAGTAGTGTCGTAGTTTGAGCACTGGTGGACTGTGGATGTGTTTTGTGCCGCAGATGTACATGCAGGAGCTCACCAAGCAGCGCGAGATGCTCTACACCGTCGAGTTGGTATGTGTCTCATACCCTCTAGCCTAACTGAACTAATAAACGATTTTTAAACGTTAGAATAATATTAACGAAAGAGATTCTCTTAACTAAAAATAAAAAAATAATAAACGAATGCACGAAAGTCTTATTTTCTTGTGTTTCTACTTTTATCCTATTTTTATTTTATTTTTTAACGTTCCGGATTTCATATAATTTTTTGTATATGCGAATGTTTTTTTTTCTTTTGTTTTTCGTTAATAAACAAAATCGATTTTCCATGACGTCATTTTTATGTTTTACTGCTTGGCGCTAAGGCGATGAACTTGTCCGTACCATTTATTTTGTTTTTAAATCGCGTGAGAAAATACATTGCAGCTTTTTATTCTTATTTTTGTAAAAATAGATATTTATATATAAATATAAATATTATTTTTAACAAAAATGAGAATCATCAAAAAATTTGTTCACGTTTATAGGTATATCAATATTGAAATATTATAATACATGCATATTGTATACGTTTATTTATTTTATTTAATATTTATTATGGTTTGCACGATTCTTTTTTTTTTCTTGTTTTTTTTTTTTCATTTTAAACCGACAATTAAATTAGATAATAAGAAGAACGACCGCTATAGGCAATTTTTCATAAATTGTGTCCCCTAAAAAAGTAACAAAATTATTTCTGCCATTAGGGCGGCATGGTGATCACCTTGATCATAGTGACGTCACAGAGAATCATTGAGCATTGCGTATTTGTGAACATACATTTGTAAACATTTGTAAACATTCATGTGATGTGCTAAGCAACTACGTTCTTCTTATTATCTAACTCCGTGAAATCGACGATCATAAACGAGGAGCATTTTGTGCGGAGTGTAGGTTACGCGAGTAAATCAGTATTTATTGTTAATGATATTCATGATTACAATTTTGCATCCATCTGGCACTATACATACATCTCATTCAGTTTGTGTAGTCACGTGAAAGTATTTGGGGGCGGTAGTAGAGTTTGCTATTTGCCCGTGCGTGCGAAATTCTGCTTAGACAAAATGAAATAGATATTTACATACATCCCATCTATATATACATGCATACATACACATTTTTAACACATAAATACGTAACATCATATTATTATACATTCATTCATATTACATGGTCCATAACGTTTCTGAAAAAAAATATACACTACTGGTCAACGATTACAAATTATAACTTACTGATTTCCATTCAAATCGAGTACACCATCATAAGTCAATTTTCAAACGTTTTGTATTCAATTAAAAACATCCGTAAAATTAATTACTAGGATAGCTAGAATATTTCCGGCAAATATTCTGATTCTCTGAATTTATGTAAAGATTTAAAACTTTTATCCGGAAGTGTATATAAACATGCATATGCATTATTCTAACATAGACATCAACTTATTTACACTCATGCTTGTACGTATAAAACATTAAATTCGCAAAACATCAAATTCGATCCTTTAAAACGAATAAAATATTTCAACGCTTTACTTTATTACACTTATTAAAAATATTTTGATTTAATCGCGGGAATCATAGGAGCGAGAGAGAAGGAGACAACATATGGCTTTGGTCAGAGCACTCGAGAATCGTCGCAAAATGGAAGAAAGGGAAAGGAAACGATTGGAAGCAAGAGCTGAGAGAATAGCAACGAAAGAGAAACGAGCTGAACAAAGGAAAATTGAGCTTGAGTTGGTAGAACAAATTAGGAAACCCGTAGAAGACATGGAACTTACAGGTTTGTTTGTCATTCATAATATATTCTTATGTAACAACGTTTGTTTTTTATTTCATTTGATAAACACAAAGATAATCGATGGATTATAGATCACAGAGCTCTGCCAGATATCAAGAGAATACCTGGACTGAAATTATCGGGACAGGCTTTCGCTGATATCGTCATGGTCTTCGAATTTCTTCATAATTTTGGTGAAACTTTAGGTTTTGGTGAGTATTTATCAAAATCCCAAATGTAGACAGAATCAAGAATTTAATCATAAGACTATTTCAATTTAAATCCCCTATTCTGTATATTTAATTATACCTAATGAAAACACAAAAAATATATCAAATTGTTTATTTCAAGACATGGAATCCTTACCAAGTTTAAGAAGTCTGCAATTAGCATTGTTGAACGACGAAGAAGCCGAAGAAGAAATGCTTTCTGTGATGACACATCTTTTGGTGTGCGCTATCGAGGACCCAGGTATTCCACAGCCAGCAAGACACACAACTGGCCTTGGACAAAGTTTACGACAGGCTGACATAACTCATGCCAACATAAGCGAAATTTTAAGAATTTATCTTTACGCGAACGCAACAGGTGAAGTTAAAGCACTCACGGGTGTCTGTTTGGAACGTGAACGTGACAAAAGATTCGCTGATCATCATCAAAACGGTGGCGATTATGCGTCTTCTTGTTCAGGCAAAAACGCTCAATTCTTCGAGCACATGCATAAAAACGAAACGTGGAAATTGTCCGAGAGGCTCAGGGACAAACCATTCCTTGCACTTAATCCAACGCACAAAGCACAAACTTTGGCGTTCCTTTGCAATGAGCTATTGCAAAATAAAGCTGTGATTAGGCAAATCGAAGGTAGCCTGGAAACGGTAGCTCAGTTGAAGAAAGAAAGATTTGTATTAGATACAAAGATCAGAAAGTGAGTTGTTTTATTTTACTTATAATTGGATTGATTTTAATTATGTGTTTTATTTTCATTTTAGGTTGAGACAATTGCATAGTCGAAAAGTTAGAATGGAAGCAGTTGGAGTTATAGTTAACAAAACCGGTGATACGATTACTATCGAAAAGAAAGAAGTTGATGAGGAAGGAAACACAACATCGACAGCTGTTGGTACAACGCCCACTCCTGACGAGATTCATCACGAGGATGAAGTTGAGGATATGTCGGAAAACGAAAGTGAAGGAACTCAACCAGAAGAGGTAAGTGGTATTATTTGTATTTTTTGTTCTACATTATATTTCTTTCTTTGTTGATTATTCATGGAAAATCTTGTCTGCTATCTTTGCCCTTTTCTAGTCCTCTTTAAAGAATGATAATCTCTGGTTGATTCAGGAGGAGGATAAAAATCTGTCGGGTGAAGAACTCGGGAAAAAATTGGATAAACTTTTGAAGCAATCCGAAGAACAATTGCAAAAATTGAATAGCTCATCGAAACAATTGCGTGCTCACACGTTCGGACAGGATAGGTATTGGAGGAGATATTGGGAATTGGCGAATGCCGGTGGTATATTTGTAGAGGCTATGGAAAGTGCGGAACCTGAGGTTTTGGAATTGCAAGCGGAATTAGATGAGAAGTACAAAAATATGCCGGTTGAGGAAAAGACCGAGACTAAACAGGAAGAACAAGCTAAGCCTAATACGGAGAATAGAGAAAACGAAGCACCGAACGAAGCCAAGGATGAAAAGAAATTGAATGCCAACGAAGAAGATGACAATTCGAAATCTCAAAGTAAGGATAAAAAGAACACCGATTGCGAGGAAATCAATTGCAAGAAAGAACCCGTACAGAATTGTAATTTGGATAACTCTGGTAATAACATGAAAGAAGAAAGAAGACACGATGGTGATAGTATGATGACGGATGCCAAGACCAATGTAACTTCCGAAGAAATTAAACAAGAAACGGAGGTTGTCAAAATGGAGGTAGACGTGAAGATCGAAGAAACGAAAAAAGAAAACGAAGAAATGGGAGAGGAAATGCCGAAACTTGTTGTCAAAATGATGGAAGATAAAATAGTCGAGACTATACCTAACGGCGACAAGTTTAATCACATTAACAATCTCCACAACGGCAAGGAACTCAACGGAACATTCATTTCTAGTGAGTCCCTATTAACCCTCCGTTGAGTACTAACGAAATTAATCATTAATATTAGTCATGTCGATAATTACAGACAACAATGCCGAGCCCAATTGGTTCTCCATTTTGCCGCGAGAAACTTGCGATACACCTGGACCTAGTACCAAGCAAATCTTTGGAATTGCTGAACCAACGGAACTCAGGATACCAGTTTTTCCACCTCCAGCTAGTCCAAATTATGACAGATGCGATAGTCCTGCCCCATTGATACTCACGCAAGATGAAGCTGCGCAACTGGAATATCTTAAAGTAAATGGATTGCCACCACCTGGGGAAGCTAAACCTGTACCGAAAGGTAAGATTAAATTAATTAGACAACAACAATAAATAATCATTTATTTTAATCATTATTTGTATTTTGATAGATCTAAGGTATGGTTGGTGGAGAATCACGGACGTAGACACGTTCCAAGAATTATTAGAACATTTACATTCTCGAGGAGTTCGTGAAAAAGAATTGAAGCGTACGACATGGGCTACGATGGAATCATTCTTGGCTGTAACCGGTAGGATCAACGTTGATCCAGGTAATGTCACTGCAACTGAACTTCAAGCGGAACCCGACGATCCCGACACACCGATTCCAAAACCGGATAATCCTGATGATTGGAGCGAGCAGGTAGCATTACGTGTGGATGCACAGCTTCTCGAACAGGTCGAGGCTTTGGAGGATAAGGTCGCTAACGCCAGCATGCAGGTCAAGGGCTGGAAACTTCCTCCACGGGCAGGAACCGAGGAGGCCGATGAAATCGAGAAGTTAAACGAAATGGAAAAGATCAGTGCAGTAGAACAAGCGAGACAAAGGTTACTCTCTTTGGAAGCGGCCATTGAAAGGAGATACTTGAAACCACCTTTAGGAGTTTGGTAAGATTTAAAGAAAGAATTTTTTATCCACGTTCCTTTGTTTTGTTTTTTTTATTATAATACCTAAAAGATAAAAAAATAGATTTATGTAATCATTTGAAAATGAATGATTATTAGCACGGGAGATCCAAATCTGGCGGCGTTGAAAGCAGAACAGGCAGCCGCCGCAAACGCTAACTCGAACAATTCGGATCAGAGTAATCAGGCACCTATTCCTCAAGAAGAGACAACACCAAGAGGGCTGAACAACTGGCGAGAAGCTACCGCACGTGCACACACATCGGCTCAACTGGCTATGGCGCTTTATATGCTCGAGGCCAGCATCGCTTGGGACAAGAGCATCATGAAGGCTGTGAGTCTAACACCAGCTAGAAACTCGGTCTGCGTCAAGCTACGAAACCGCTGCGTCTCACTCAAAGCTACCACTCAGTACAATCAACTATTGACTACTTCTCAAACCTCTGTGGGTATTCGCACTAACTTACTAACCGAATTGTCCTTTTGCTTCCTACCTATGTCTTTTTCCCCTTTTTTCGATTCGATGAACCACACGAAGCATGGTCGGGCTTCGAAAATCAGAATATAAGACATTGATCTTCCTCTCGATTTTACATTAATATTGTTCTAACTTTAAATAATTATTTCATTTTTATCTAGAATTAACTATACATTTCTAACTAATCCTTGAAAATTCGAACGAAAAATATTATCTTAAAATAATAAATACTAACTATACTCGTAAAACAGGTTCCATCGTTCCAATAAATAACTAAATTATTAACATACAGTAACACAATTATTGAGTAAAGTCAATATTCGGTATTCGTGTAAAATTGTAGATTTTGTGAATACATGTAATGTGATCGTCTTGAACAAAAATAGTCACATTTTAAAAAGAAAATCCATTCAAGTATGTGCAGGAAGGTTAAAAGTAAACAAATAATATATATAATTATATATGTTTATATATATTTATATATAATAATATCCAATGGTGGTCAGAGTCTAACGTAACGGTAGCATGCAAAAATTAATGCCGCTTGATTATATATTTACTAATTTTATCTTTACAATATCGCTTTTTTTCTTCTTACTCTTTGTTCTATTCTTTTTCATTAATTCACTATTTTTAAAAAGCTTTTACATAGCGCGTAGCGTGATCGTTTAAATTTTAAGATACATTCATTATTTTATTCTTTATTTATTTATTTATTTTTTATTAAATATCACATTAATTTTTATTTTGAGAGAGAAAGAGAGATATTACAATATAACAAATCTCATTCTATCTCTTTCTCTCTCTCTCTCTCTCTCTCTCTCTTTCTCGCCGCTATTCTTCTCATATCTTCAGCAATTTGCATTAATTAGAAATTTGATTTGCATATATGCTTAACATTTATTTTCAAATTACAATATTTCTACATGGTGCCTGTTGTGATTGTACGCTTATCTGCTATTATGCTGGATTATATTGCTAAGTATTATTAGATTCGAAGGAAAAAATTATTGAAGAGAGAGTAGAGACCGTTCTAACAAATAAGGAAAAATATTTTCGTTAATTCGTTAATTCAATAATATATAATTATTGTTATTACTATTATTATACGAATAAAACGAGCAGAGAAATGATCTCTCTATTTCTCTGCTAATTTATTCCTATTCCTTAAAAGCACGAGTATCATCTTTGTGTTTCAGAATTGCCAGTTTTGTCATAGTGGAGACAACGAGGACAAGTTATTGCTTTGCGATGGCTGTGATCGCGGTTATCATACTTATTGTTTCCGTCCAAAAATGGAAAACATTCCTGATGGTGACTGGTGAGTTGTTAGCAAAAAACAAAGAGAACAAAAAAAAATAACAAAATACGTTAATATTTTTTTCTAACTTTTCGTTTAAGCCGCGTGGGTCGTATACGACCCACATATGTATAAATGCTAAAAGAGTTTCCTATGGCCCGAACGGAAAGTTTAGAATTGAGGCGTATGTGACCCATACGACACGGAACGTGTTAATCCAATTTTTAGAACCACATTGTTTAAACAATCTCTTCTTCAAATTTTTGTTTAGGTACTGTCACGAATGTATGAACAAAGCAACAGGAGAACGTAATTGTTTGGTATGTGGGAAAAGGGTTGGGAAAAATTTGGTCCTCTGCGAGCTTTGTCCTAGGGCTTATCACACCGACTGCCATAATCCGGTTATGCCAAAAGTGCGTAATTTGAATTCACTTCTATTTCTCTAACAAAATTATTTTATTTTATGAACATAAACAATTTTTTGTTGTTTTATTATTTGGTTATTTTCAATTCGATATTTAAATGATTCATTTGATTTCCAGATGCCAAGAGGGAAATGGTATTGCTCTAATTGCCACAGTAAGCAACCAAAGAAGAGAAATAGTAGTCGAAGGAGTCATACCAAAGGGGGAAGCACCAGAGAGAGTGAGAGTTCTGATCATCCACCAGCTAGGTGATTACGTTAAAACCAAACAAACATTATCAATTTGTTGACTTAACGGTATAAAGTATATTCGAGAACAAAAATGAACAAAATAGAACGAACAAACGAAAAACGTAATAATAACGATTAATAATTCATAATTAATTAAATAAAATAACATTGAAGATAACAGTCAAAATAACAACCAACAATAATAATAATAATAATCATCCTCTCATCGTCATAATAATCATAATTAATAACATTATATACGGAACACATGATTTGATATAATATTCAACGAATGCGAATGCTAATACAATTATTCCCGATTTAAATAAACGAATTTTCCAACTTTTACGAATTACATTTTAAATATATGTATATGTGTATATGTATACTGCTCTCTCTCATGTGAAAAACCCAGTTTGATTCTCGGTTAAATGAGGAAAATTGTTAAATCAAGCCTTTCTAACTTCTAATGACGTTTAATTGCATACAGGGTGTTCTAGGAGTACAGTGTGCGGATGCGGTTATCGTGTTACATGTATGTGTATATATATAATTATATATTAATTAGGGTTTGTCAAAGATCATTTTATTTTCTCCTGATTCTCTCGTATGCGTGCGTGTTTTAATTATGATATAAAAAATATATATATATATATACATAAATATATCTTCTCGTCGTACTGTCCCAACCTTTTTTCTATGGTAGGTGGGGGGAGGGGGGTAATGTTTTCTGAGATAATCAATGTAAACTTCTTCGTATAATAAAATACAAACGTGTTGTATAAAAGGGCTAATCTTTAAGATCGTATTGTCGCACAAGAAGTAAAAAAAAAATATAAAATAATAGTAAAAACTAATATGTATGTGTATAAAAGTAAAATAGAGTAATAAAAAAAAATCTATGCAATCTCAAATATGTAAAAAAAGGTAAAAAGTCGGAAATATAAGAGAGCAAGAAAAGGCGAGAGGAAAGTGAGAAAAACGAGAGAGGGAGAGAGAGAGAGAGAGAGACAGAGATAATGACAAAGAGTCAAAAAGAGCTAGAGCTAGAAAGAACGGAATATTTCATCGAAAGAGCAACATATCCGAATCTCGACCGGAAACAAAATAAAATAATAGTAAAAACCAATCACGCACAAAAAATGTGCTCGAATTCGCTCGAAAAAACAAAAAAACGCATAGTCGCCCTCGAGAAGGTTTATTAGAAACGGAAACAAACAAGCGCACCTGTAAAATGGAACTCAAAAAAGAAACAAAACAAAGCGAACAAACCAAACCAAACAAACAAACAAAATAGATTAATCGTGGAAAATAATTTCTGTGTTGTTTTGCGCCGCAGTCCAACGCCTTCAACGGCATCGAACACGCACGTAGAGGACGTCAGTTCGTCGGAACCGGCAACCCCTACTGCATCCCCGAGGAAGGAGGGAAACAATAGGACCCTTACTAAGAAGCAACAACGAGAGCTGGCACCTTGTAAGCTTCTTCTCGAACAGTTGGAGCAGCAGGACGAAGCCTGGCCATTCCTATTGCCGGTTAACACCAAACAGTTCCCGACCTACAAGAAAATCATTAAGACTCCCATGGATCTCAGTACGATAAAGAAGAAACTACAGGACTCTGTGTAAGTTTCAAGCATCCTAAGAAAAGACTATAAACGCTTCTACTTCTCGATCGTCTTGCATACAATAGTAATAGATTTGTGTTACGTAATAACTTGTTTAGAGCAAAATAAAAGGCAAAAAATAATAAATAAATAAATAAAATAAAATAAAAGATAAAACCAAAAAAAAAAGTAAATAAATATAAGCAAGGTATATAGAAAGACAAATACTAATAATAATAATAAAAAAAAAGCATAGAGAAAATAAAAATATTAAATAATAAGAGATATATATATATATATAAATAGAAAAAAAAAATAAATAAAAATTAAAAAATAAAAAAAAAAGATATAAGAGTGTCGGATGGAAAATAAGAAAATATGTTGTTCCAACGAGTGCTTCTCAAACGCAGGTACAAGTCCCGCGATGAATTTTGCGCCGATGTCAGGCAGATGTTCATCAACTGCGAGGTATTCAACGAAGACGACAGTCCCGTAGGAAAGGCCGGACACGGGATGAGAAGTTTCTTCGAAATGCGATGGACCGAGATCACCGGTGCACCCCCACCCCATACACAGACGCATAGCTGAGGTTCGGTGCGTTCACGCAACACCTGCAACAGCTTCGCACACTTTTACTACTAAAGCGTGTGTGTGAAAGTCCTGCGGCCCAGACAAAAAGAAAATATAGAGGATAGATGATAGAGGATAGAAAATAGAAAATAAAAAAAATAGAAAAAAAAGAGAGAGAGAGGGAGGGAGAGAGCGAGAGAGAGCGAGAGAGAGAGAGAATGAGAATGTCAGAGAGTATGTAAAACCCGATAAGGACTATGAAGAGAAACATTAGTGAAAGAAAGAGAAAGAGAGAGAGAAAAGGGAGAATCAAAGGTGACGAAAAAACCCACTTCCATTTTTAGCCAATCGGTCTCGTTCTAGCGACCGATCGAAACTCGATATTAAATATTATTATTATTATTATTATTATTATTATTATTATTATTATTATTATTATTATTATTATTATTATTATTATTATTATTATTA